AAGAAATACTCAGGTCCTGAAATTCAAAAGACATTAACCTCCACACCATTCAAGAATCATTCCTTTTTAAATCTATAGGTACTTCACTCATTCTTTCATATTCAATCACAACCAATTGAACACCGGTTAACAAAAGACAACACAATATAGTTCCAAATCAAGTTTCATCATATTTAATATTATTACATTCAATAAATACTCAGAAATGAGGGGGGGAATGTCAGGTATTACATAACCAGAATAACCAATTATGCACAATTCATCAATACTCAACATTTCACATCAACTATAAGAAGAATCAAGAATCCACTAATTGTAACATTATATGTATATTAATAGAACATCGGAATTACCTTATATACACACAGTAGAGGATATTCTGTCAAAAACCAAAACAAAAACAAAACAAGAAAAAAGGCGAAAAGGCCAGACCGATTACATAATCGAGATGGTGAAATTTGGCGAGTGAACGACCAAATTTTGAGGAACAGCAAAACCAAAACAACAATTTTTTGTTAATTGTCTAAATAAACAGAACTCAGGTCGTTAAAAATTTGATATATTTCAATACACCATGAATTTTCAATTGGTGGTGGTGCTGCTGGCCTGTGTGATACATTCCACGCTTGCCTGGGACCCTTTCGGTACGTGTTGATTCGCTTGTCTGGCTGCCTTCCAATATTTCGCGTTGTCTGTGCCTGAATAACTGGAAACAAGCTAGATCTAAGGTTTCTAGATTGAAGATATACTAACAATTCTTGAAACAGGATGGACTCCAAACTATTACGAAAAGGGAGAAAAAGTGAATTTGCTGGTGAATAGAGTCGAATCAGATACAACACAATTGCCATATGCATACTATGATCTTCCGTTTATTTGTCCTCCAACTAAAGATGCTAGACCTTTACATCTATCTCTAAATGAAGTTATAAGAGGTGATAGAATATGGGGGTCAGATTATATCCTAAATTTCAACCAAGACGCCTCATGTCATAGGTTATGTGATCGTATAACAAAGCCAGATGCTATAAAAAGAGCAGATCAATTGATCAGAAGTGGATACGTTGTTGAATGGCAAATTGATGATTTACCAGGTGCAACCACTTTTGTAAGCTCTACTGATAATAAAAAATATTATGCGGCAGGGTTCCCATTAGGATTTGTTAGAGATGGTGGAACATTTATTCATAACCATGTCATGTTGGTTATTAGATTCCATACTGAAAAGAATGGTAAACGAACAATTGTGGGATTTGAGGTCTATCCAAGAAGTGTGAATGATTTCCATTGTCCTGGTGCTTCTAAAAACCATGATAATTTTAAACTTGATCTTGAAAATAAAGAAAATGTTGTGATTCCGTTCACTTATGCTGTTTATTGGAGAGAAGAAGATAAAGTTTCATGGAGTGAAAGATGGAACCTATATTACACTGGTGAAGTGAATGATGATCATATCCATTGGCTATCATTAATCAACTCATTAGTTTTGGTTTCTTTTTTATCGGCTGTGGTTGGTGTTGTCTTGCTTAGAACTCTGAATCGTGATATTCAAACTTATAACAGTAGTAATATTGATATAGCTACTGGTAATATTGATATTGAGAGTGACAAAAGTGACAACTTCAACAATTCAGGTTGGAAACTAATCTCAAATGATGTTTTCAGAAAGCCTAAAAGACCATTATTACTTTCAATTGCTCTAGCTGCTGGTGTCCAAGTGTTTTTCACAATTATTGGTGTTTTGATTGTTTCCACAACAGGATTATTAGGTCCAAATATCAGAAACAGTGTATTGAGTTGTGGATTGACTTTATTTATCATTGGAGGAACAGCTGCTGGTTATTCAGGTATAAGGTTTTATAAATCATTTGTAAATGAGGTTTGCATCAAGAATTATATTTCATTTTCAATTCTTTTCGGTGGTACATTACCATTTATTGTTTTAATTTCAGTTTTGATTTTGAACTGTATTGTTTGGGCTAAGGATTCTTCAGTTGCTTTACCATTCGGTACTGTTGTTTTATTGATTACATTTCTTTTAATTCTTGAAGTTCCATTATCAATCATTGGTGGTGTTTTAGGTAATAGAAAACCACCAGCAAAGACTAATGCAAATTTATCAACTAGTGCAAAATCAATTGGACCTCAACCAAAGTTTACAAAGTTCATTTATGCAATTCCGGTCTTTGGATTAATTCCATTTGGTACAATCTATGTTGAATTATTATTTGTTTTCAGATCAATTTGGATGGAAAAGACTTCATTTTATTATATGTATGGATTTTTATCATTCACCATACTTTTATTGAGTGTTGTTGTTGCTGAAAGTGTTATTGTTGCTATTTATTTGTCATTGATATATGGTGATTGGAAATGGCAATGGAGATCATTTTGGATAGGTTCAAGTGTTGCTTGGTATATTGAAGTTTATTCAGTATATTATTTCTTTAGTCATCTAAAAGTTACTGATTTTTCATCCATAATATTGTTCTTCTCATATACAACCATATTGAGTGCATTGATTGGGTTGGCAACTGGTTCTTTAGGTTTATTTGCTGCTTCATTATTCATTTATAAGATCTATGGAGCTATAAAAGCAGATTAAACCCAAGTCATTTAAAACCAATTACATTTCATAAAAACATCTTATTATTATTCATTTCAAAAGCATGGGAGTTGAGTAAAATTTCAGTTCTTCAGTTCTCCAATTAATAGCATTTACCAATTTTCCATTCATAGAGACAAACCATATAGACAAAGTTATTCATATATATATTTTAAGAGTCGAAGACGGGTTCAAATTTACAGTTTGTAACAAAAAAAAAGAAGTAGGTATCTATTATACATCGTTACCATAATTAATTCATGCACCCTTAAAACCCGAAAAATAAACATTCAAACGAAAACATGGAACACTCATTGCTGCTGTTGTGATTGTTGCTGATGTTGTTGTTGTTGGCCATGTTGTTGACGTTGGTCATTATTGTAACGACCCCCACGATTGTTGTTGTTGTTGTTGTTACGATTTTGATTATATCTTCCACCATTAGCGTTATAGCTTCTTCTTTGATTGTTATAGTTCTTGTTATTATTTCTATTATCATTATTGTTGTTATTGTTTCTATTTCTTTGATAACGTTGTTCTTGATTTTGGACATTACGTTGTTTGATTTCTCCTATTAACTCTTCTGGTAATCGTAAATATTTGATATCTTTACCTCTGACAAATATTTCAGGTATTTTCAAAAACGATTCACCATTCTGAAGGGGGTATGTTAGTATAAGATACTTCAAACGAATGCGCATTCATACATACTGCACTAGTTTCAATGACTTCAGTTAAAGTTAGATTCATTAGATTGTCAATTTCAGTCAAAACACCATTAATTGTTTCACCAGATTTCAATTCCACAAGAGTTGGCTGGCCCTTGGCTGCCGTTAAAAGGTATAAAGGTAACTGAAATAGAGCATGTTAGTAAGTACAAGGATAGTAACCATCAATGAAACATACCATTATTTGGTTTCCTTTGATTCAGTTATGCTCTTGCTATATCAATTTATCTCACAGTCAACCAAAAAATTGAAAACTCACTTTCGACAAACAGAATTGGTGGACGCCACACACAAAAATTCACCCAACCGCGAAAACAATTTATACATGATCATCAATCAGAATTAAACAACTTAATAACAATTTTGGATATAAAAGGAGTAGAAAAATACATTTGAGGTTTCTATGAGATATAAGATACTTTCTGAAAGTTTTTGCTTTTGAGGCTTTTTGAGAGTGGACCACACCTTTGTTCTTCTTTCACCTGCCAAAATGAGAAGTGTCAACAATTGTATGACTTTATCTAGTGTAATTCGTATTTTTGCACGTGGTTTCTCCTGACCTACTCTGCATATTAATCACTAAGTAGTATTAAGCTCAATGAAAGCGATGATGATATATCAAATTCAATTTAGCTTTCAAAGAGACGTATAACTCATTAAATCGCCTCAGTGATTACATAATACAAACTTCCAAGTCACGTGACAATGCTTATCATCTTCTAAGTTTCTCTTCAGCACCATCTAAACTCATTAAAGTCTCTAATCAAGAGCATAGTATATTCAGAAATACTAGAAATAGTTCTCATAAAGAAAATTCAAAGATTGTGTCTCCAGTGTTTTCGGAAAGACGCGGTGTGTAATTAATTTTCCCAAAAGAGATACGCTTGTCTGAAAAAAAAACAGCACTTCATTTACGCGTAAGGGAATTTCTCATGGATGAAAAGAGAGGTGCCAAACTCACTTAACGGTAAACCAAACTCGCTTCAAAAGCTCAAACAACTTGCTACGTTTTTTGCTTCTCAAGACCTGGCTTTCCCTTGCTGAAAGCTCTTCTATATATACCCCCTTTCCTTTTACTACTGAATAGCTCAGAGCTTTTTCCATTTTGGCTTTTTGAACCATTTCTAATACCTCAAGACATTATTATTCAGTATTATAGGGCTTTGAGACCCACTAAAGCACACAATTTGAAGAAATAATGACTGATAACTTATATTTGTCTACATATTCAAATGTATGTATCTAACTAAACGTTGAAGATCAGATCAATGCTAACAATTTTTTTAGATTGATGTCTATGAGTGCTTCATTGAAGAAGTGCCGGTTATGAGAAGATGTACCGATAACTGGGTTAATGCCACTCAAATATTGAAAGCAGCTAAGTTTCCAAAGGCTCATAGAACAAGAATTTTAGAAAAAGAAGTGCAAAAGGGCGTCCATGAAAAGATTCAAGGTGGTTATGGTCGTTTTCAAGGGACATGGATTCCACTAGAAGTTGCGCGTCCTTTGGCTCACAAGTACAATATTACTGATCAAATGGCACCAATTCTGTCTTATGTCCCAGATCCAAATAACCCACTAAAGAGAAGAGCTAAACCTGTGAAAGCTACTCCAATGCCAAGTGTGAATAGTGATGTTGAAAGCCCATTGAAGAAGCCTAAAAGAACATACAATACCAAAAAGAAGAAAGCTGCTGCTGCTGCTGCTCTCGAAAAGGCTAGATTGGAAGAACAAAGTAGACAAAATAGTGATATTTCTCAAATGGCATCTCAAAGTCAAGATGAAATGTTTTGGCAACAACAACATCAACAACGGCCACAACCTGTTCAACAACTGAATGAACCATTGAGACATACTTTCCAGACAAATGCTCCTGCACAACAGTATTCATCAGTTCCCTCCCAACAACCACCTCAATATCATCAATTCCAACCTCAACAACCACAAGCTCAAGCCTTTGGGTATAATCAAAGAGCTGGATACCCTCAACAAAACATACCGCATCAACCTGTGATCCAACAACCACAATTCTATCCTCAGCAACAGCAACAACAAGGATTTCAACAACATAGATCTAATGGATCAGCTGGACAACATGAAAATTGGTCTCAAGATGATGGATCATTATCAACTCAAATGGATGAAGTCATGAGAGATTCAGACACTTCAATTTCTTCAGGTCATTCATCTCCTAATGATACCACCAGTGAAATGAAGAACCATAAAGCAATTTACACGGAAAGTTTGATTGATTTCTTTAGTAACGAATCAGATGAAGTTCCTCAAGTTTTGCATCATCCACCTAGTGATTTTGATTTCAATGAACCAATTGACGAAGAAGGTCATACTCCATTACACTGGGCAAGTGCTATGGCTAATGTTCCATTAATTGAATTACTATTAAAACATGGTTCTGATCCTTTAACTCCAAATGTATCTGGCTTGAATTGTGTTTCTCGTTCCATTTTTTTCAACAATTCTTTCCAAAAAAATAATTTTAACAAGTTGGTTGATTTGATGAAGAATTGTTTATATACACCTGATAAAAGTGGACGTACACCAATGCATTATATTTGTGAATCAATAAAGACAAAATATGATACTTCAAAATATTATATGGAAATAATATTGAATAAATTAGCACAAGGGAATGAAAATTTGTTGAGAATTGTGGTGAATCATCATGATATCAAAGGTAATACAGCTTTAGAACTAGCTCAATTCTCTGGTAATTTGGAATTGGTGAATCTGCTCAAGAGATTTGGTGCGAAAGAAACGGAACCAAGTGAGAAGAAAAAAACTATAACAAGTCCAATTAAAGAGGAATCTGCTGAAATCCCACCTATTCCAAGCTTACCATTACAGGAAGTGGGACCAATTTTCACCTCTATGTTGAGTTCATTAGCTGATGCTTATGATTATGAGCTGAAAAATAAAGAAGAAGAAAGTGAACATACAAAGACAGTTTTGGAAGATTTGGAATTAGATATCAGAACAACCGATGAACAAAATAGAATTGTGCTGGATCAGATTGATAATGGGTCATCATTAAATGAATTGTTACAAAATATTAGCAACTTGGAAAAAGACTCAGAACGTAAGACTCAACATTTGAATAAAGTTATAGAGAGAAGTCAAGCTTTAAGTTTAGCAAAATTGGTTCATAAAGAGGAATCATCCATTAATTTGATCAATGATAATGCCAATGAGTTTGAGCTGGCTCTTGAGCTAACAAGGCTACAGTTCAACAGAAGAAAGATAGTTGAAAACATTTTGACAGAGTTGACAGAACAAAGTATCAACAAAAAAATGAACAATTATAGAAGATTGATTTCAATCTCTTGCGATTTGAAATTTGAGAACATTGATGAATTGGTTGATGAGATAGAAGCTGACCTATCTTCCACGGCGTAACTTGTGACATTTCCTCAAAAGGTGTAGTATACAATATGGTTTTAATGGATATTTAATGAGTTTTTATCAAAATTGTAGATGCAAAATTATGTGTCACAAAATTTGGGTATTCATTTGTAAATTTCGCGAAAGCTCATCGCGGTTCGCGCCACAAATGTGGTTACCCGTGTCGAAAAAATTGCAGGATCAAAAAAAAATCTTTATACACATAGACGTATAACATTCCAGTCCTTTGTATTGTTTTACACAAGATCCATTCTTCTTTGAAGGTTTCTCTGTTTCAATCATGGATCAACAATTTGTCAACAGTTTGCAAGAGACCTTGACTCAGGTCACTTTGCCAGATTCAGCTGCAATCAAGGCTGCTACTAATAAGCTTTCAAATGAATTCTACCCAAACCCAGCTACTTTACCAGCTATTATCTTTATTTTACAAAACAACACCAACGAGCAAATTAGACAACTAGCTGCTGTTGAATCCAGAAAATTGGTCAACAAACACTGGGAAACTGCTGCCCAAAGTGTTAAAGATGAAATCAAAGAATCCATCTTGAATACCACTTTCAAAGAACAATCTAAAATTATCCGTCATGCTGATTCAAGAGTCATTGCTGCTATTGCTGAATTTGAATTATCCAACAATAAATGGGAATCATTGTTACCTTTACTAGTCACAGCTGCCACTGATGATTCAAATGTTGCACACAAAGAAACTGCTACTTTTGTTTTATTGTCTTTGTTAGAAAGTAATTTACCAGAACTTGAACAACATGTTACATCATTCCTTGAATTATTCGCTAAAACTTTACATGATCAATCTAGTCGTGATGTTAGAGTCAACTCCGTTTTAGCTTTAGGTTCAGTTGCTAACTTGATTGAATCACATTTGAACATCGACAATCAATTAGCTAATGCTTTCAAAAACTTGATTCCATCAATGGTTGAAGTCTTGAAAGAAGTCATTGCTGCTAGTGATGAAGTTGTTGCCAAACAAATCTTCAACTCTTTCAACGACTTGATCTTGTTAGATACTAAACTAACTGGTGATAGTCTGATTGTTTTGATTCAAATCATGACTGAAATTGCCTTGAACAGTCAATTAGATGATGAAATTAGAAACTTTGCTTTCCAATTTTTAACCTCTGCTGTTACATTCAGAAAAACCAAAATTTCTTCAAAGAAATTAGGTCGTGATATCACTTTGGCTGCTTTAAAGATTGCTTCTGAAGAAATTGACATTGAAGCCGAGTTAGCTAATGATGATGACGAAAATGAAAACGAAGAAAATGAGCCATCAACTTTAGCATTGAGATTATTGACTGTTGCCTCAGCTGAACTTCCACCATCCCAAGTTGTTACACCAATCTTTGAACAATTAAAACACTTGTTGACTTCATCCAATCAATTTGAAAGAAGAGCTGCTTATTTGGCCATTGGTGCTACTGCTACCGGTGCACCAGACTTCTACAGTGCTCATTTGGAAAAAATTGTTGAAGTTATTGTTACCGGTTTGAAAGATTCAGAACTAATTGTTAGAGTCAGTGCTTTACGTTCATTGGCTCAACTAACCACTGAATTACAAGATTTGTTGGCCGAATACCACGAGCAATTGTTACCATTAATTATTAGTATTATTGATGGTGCTACTAATGCTGTTGTTTACAAATATGCTTGTACTTCATTAGATTCTTTGATTGAGTTTATGTCTCATGATGCTATCCAAAAATTCCTTGAACCATTGATGAACAAGTTGTTCCACTTGTTGCAAGTTACTGATACTTCAAGCTTAAGATCTATCATTGTCTCAGCTATTGGTTCAGCTGCCTATGCTGCCGGTACTTCATTCAAACCATATTTCAACCAATCTGTTGAAATCTTACAACATTTTATTCAAAACTCTGCTTCCGTTGAAGGTTTATCTGAAGACGACATTGAATTAAGAGCTTTGACTTTTGAAAACATTTCCACCATGGCTAGAGCTGTCGGTTCAGAATCTTTCAGTCAATATGCTAAACCATTAGTTGATGCTGCTTATACTTCAATCAACTCTGAAAGTTCAAGATTAAGAGAATCAGGTTTCGCCTTCATCACTAACATGGCTAAAGTTTACAAAAAAGACTTTGCTGCTTTCTTACCAAACATCATGCCTGAAATTTTCAAATGTTTGGAACAAGAAGAATTCAATGTTAACTTTGGTGAAGAAGATGAATTCAATGATGATGACGAAGATCTTGCCAACAAATTTCAAGTTCATACTGGTATTACCATTGAAAAGGAAATTGCTGCCATTGCCTTATCTGAATTGGCCTTAGGTACCAAAGAACTTTTTGCTGACTATGTTGAACAATCTGTCACTATCTTATCTACACAAGCTCAAGATTCTTATGGTATGAGAGAAACTGCTTTATCTGCTTTGTGGAAAGTTGTTGAAGCTTTCATCACCACCAGTGTTACCAATGGTAAATACCCAATCGGTGTCCCAAGTGGATCATATGTTGACACTAACATTTTGAACTTGATTAAGCATGCTAGAGAATTATCCGTCAATGCCTTAGGTGAAGAATATGAATTGTCCATGGTTGCTGCTATTTTAGATTCATTCACTGAATTAATCAAAAGATATGGTGCTATTATTATCATTGATAATGGTGATAGTAAATATTTAGAACAATTATGTGTTGAGTTGATGAACATTTTGAAAGGTGAACATTTATGTCAAACTCTTGATGATGATGAGGTTCCAGAAGATGAAGATGCAGATGCTTCAGAAACTGATGCTATGTTATTCGAAAGTGCTTTAGAAGTTTTAGTTAACTTATCTTTAGCTTTAGGTCCAGATTTCAACAAAATCTTTGCCTCTTTCAAAGATATCATTGCTGCTAATGTCACATCAAAAAGTAAAAACAAAAGAGTTTCAGCTATTGGTGCCCTCGCTGAAATTGGTTCAGGATTAAAAGAATCCAATCCATACACTGATGAATTTTTACAATTGTTCACAACAAGACTACAAGGTGATAAATCTGTTGAAGTTAGAGGTAATGCCGCTTATGGTATCGGTATTTTAATTTTTTACTCAAATAACAACTACTCAGGTTCATACCCAGATATTTTCAACTTATTATCCACTTTGTTATCAAAAGTTCAAAAACAAGAAGCTAATGTTGATGAAGATGATGAAGAAACTAAAGATGTCATTCATAGATCATACGCAAATGCATGTGGTTGTGTTGCTAGATTAGCCCTAAAACAACAAGATGCCGCTCCATTGAACGTTATTCTACCTGTTTTATTTGAGCATTTACCTTTACAATCAGCATTTGAAGAAAATACCCCAATTTTTGAATTAATCGTCAAGTTGTACCAAGATTCAAATGAAGAGATTGTTCAATTTACTCCAAAGGTTGTTGAACTTTTCGCAGATGTCTTCTTGAAAGAATTTGAAAAAGAAAAATTAGAAAGAGAATCTACTCTAGGTAGAGAAGAAAACATTGATAGATTTAAACAATTCGAAACACCAGAGTTGAAGGCTAAAGTTATTGACTTATTGAAGTATTTGGATACTAAATATGCTAGCGTTGCTTCCCAAAATCAAGTTTTGAAACAAGTCATTTCATAAGCATCTTTTGTTGGTTGATAGAAGTTTTTGCTGAGGATTGTTATGTAGATTAGAGATGTTTCTTTGTTAATATTATACACATTTGTTATAGAGTTATGTGTAGCCATCGTTGGATCATCAAATGGTCTGAGACATACAAAACCAGAATCAAACATCTCAGCTTTACTTTCTTGACGTTTCCCCATAACCGTAAACAACTCTTACGCACATCTTGAACTTCCGTACTGATTAATCAACATCCTTTAATCATAATGACTGTCCTATGATTAAAATTGCACAGCAAGTTGATTATAATTACATGCTCTCATGTGGTTCAGTATTCGCCTTTTGACAGTATAACTCGACCAGCATCAAACGGTTGACACCTTGACAGCTTAACAATTTGGGAAACATTAACACTAGAATTAAACTTCAAATGCAGCTTGATATGATCTCCTGGTCTCACTTCTTTAACCTTATTTATGATTTTCCTTCTCATTCAACCTAAATGGTCGAGTCTGGTCACTTCTATTTAGGCTGGAAACAAATATTTTTCATGTAAGGTTAACAGAAATTGCTGAATTTGGAATCTAAAAGGTTGACACAAAAACATCGCGTATCTTGATCTAGTTCGCGATCTGCGATTTATTGATATTTTCGCGAATTTGACCTGAGATAAATTCTTTGGAAGATGGTTTGACAGAAAACTGTATCTACTTTTGGTAATTTCGAACGGAATTCTCTGTTGGATTGATGAAACAAAGAGAACAATTATGCACGATCCTGTCAATCTTCAATTGATCTCATATCGGAACCACATTGACATCAACGGTGTGATACTGAATCAAGTAATTTTTCAAAACCAACAGAATCAAAAACAATAAAGTTGACAGAATATGAATGGTTTACACGTTAATTCACCAATTGAACAGAATATGGATAATGTAACCAAAAAATTATATAAACGATGAACCCATCCCTCCTTGTCCAAAGAATTTCTAACCTCTTTCTTCCTCACCATTCATCATATCTGTTTGACATCCAAATAGATAAACCATCACCAACCATAAACTCTTTGATAGATATATCATATAGTTTACCCAAAATCATACCAATACATCATGTATAAAATCTTTGAAAAGTTCGAAAAAAAAGGTAAAACCATTCCAAGTCATTGTTTGGAAGTCTCAAACTTTCAAAAAGTTCATGGCTATAACAACTTGGAATTATTTAAGGAAAAATTTATTAAGATCTATGGTGCAAAAGATCCAATTATCAACGAACTGAAACAATATGAAAACCACAATGCCTCTTCGCATGGAAAACTTATTCCTGAAGAGATTTGTTTTCAACGCAAGGAAAAAAACTCAACTTCACCATCACATTTTAAAATGAACACATACTTCTTATGTCCAATTTGTGATCCATTCGAGTATTCTCACTTGGGTCCTTCATATAAACTCAAGTACCGTGATGGTGAGAAGGTACAAATTGATCAAAACCAACCACAATTCTATGATACTTTGCACGCTCAATATGAACATCATCTTGCGCAAGTTCACGGTGTTCTTAAAGAAGCATATGTTGAAAATCCTTTTATTGGTTTTAGTTTGACCGGGGAAAAATCACCAGTCCTTGGATTAAATTGTATTTGCCCATATAATGTTCGTGGACAAGAAGCCGCTTGTCTTGCACAATTCAAGTTCAACATCGGTGGTAAAGATCCAAACCCATTCAAAGCGTATTTGAGACATGTTCATTCCTGCCATCATAATTGTTCCAATCCAAACGGGGAGATATACCATACCCAAGTTGCTGACACCACAAAAGATGAAATTTTATATAATTATTTCAAACCTTTATCAATTGAAGGATTCATGAAATCATTGGGTCACTTGAGAAGAGCAGTTAACGGCGATAAAGATTTTAATCCCTTCCTTCTTAGCAATGACCAAAGTGAGTTAAAAAGAATTGCAGCATATGTCAGTGGTTCTTCTGGTCAAAACAAAAAATACACTCCACCAACACCTGAAAGATCACCAAAGTTGAAAAGAGCAGCAGAAGATTCAGCACCAGCACCAGAAAACAGAAAAAAGAGAGCACGTAAGATTAATTACTTGCCTCTTGGTGAGCACGCTAAAGTTGCCAAAGCAGCAGCTCCATCAAAGAGAGAACCGGAAGCTATTAGCGAACCAGAGCCACAACAAGAACAAGAACAAGCACCGGTTAATGTTCCTGGTTCTGAGGGTCAACCATCATTGAACTTTGATGGTGAAATGCCTGTAATGGGTGTGCCACAAATTGATTGGGAGCAGGACGACTTGATGAATTCTTTATTGGGAGACCCAAATTTCAATTTGACTTACAATTACTTGAATGATTGGCTTCATTTCCCAAGTAACACTTAAGATTCAGAATAACATGAAGATAACCACCAAGCTGTCGGTTCAGAAATTATGAAGAGAACTTGACAGTCACCTTTTTTAATAATTATTTTGCAAACCTCTATTGATGATCAGCAGTGACATCTAGAGTATCCTCCCCCGTATATCAATCAACTGATATAATGATGAATGTCCTTGAAGACTTGTACATTAGTGTGTTGTATAAAATTAAAATAAATGTATGTAAAAATGAAAAAGTATGTGCATATAGTTCGCGAAAGTGATCTTTTTACCCGTCCAAATCATCGAGTTCTGTCATAATTCTCGTGTCATTAGCCAAAAAATCAAAATCGCGAACACAACCGAGTGTAAACTGAATCACTTCTATCTCTTCCCCTTCATCATAACGCTATAATCGAAGGTCCAAAGAGCACATAACTTGCCATGTCGTCGGTTGATCATCCACCAAGGGAAGGGGTCAATGGCCCGCCAAGTTCAGAAGAGAAAATCACAACTGAACAGGAAGAAAACAAACTTCCCGAATTCACACTTCAAAATGTGATTAATGATATAATTTACGGTATAAATCAATTGATCTTCAATCCTGAGTTTAATAAGGTCATCATTCCAGTTTTATTAGCTACTGAGTCAATTGCAGTTAAGATAATTAGAGGCTTGGTTTCATGTAAGTTTTCAACATTTCTTTAGTTTGAGAAATCAACTAACAAGTTTACAAGATACAGAGATTGATTATACAGCATATATGGAACAGATCACGATAATTAAAAACGGTGAGCTCAATTATGCTCATATCTTTGGTGGCACTGGTCCATTGGTGTACCCAGCTGGTCATGTTTGGATTTACAGATTTTTGTCATGGTTAACTTTTGGTACTGAGAACGTTCCCCTTGGTCAAGCATTCTTTGGGTGGCTATATGTTTTGACTCTGTTGATTGTCTTTGGAATTTATTTGAGACTAGATGTTCCACCTTGGGTGGTGTACTTGTTGGTTTTGTCCAAGCGGTTACATTCAATCTACGTCTTGAGACTGTTCAATGATTGTTTCACCACATTGTTTATGGTGTTGACTGTTTTAACATTACAGAATGCAACTGTTTTCAGACAATCCAACAAAAAGCTTTCAAAATTCTTGACAAATCAAGTGAGCGCTGTGTTTTATGGTGCTGCCATCTCAATTAAAATGAATGCCTTACTTTACTTGCCAGGGTTTTGTGTTGTTGTTTACTTTTTAAATGATGAAGTATTAGTCAGGTCATTAGTCCCATTAGTTGTGGTTGGGCTTGTCCAAGTTCTGCTCAGTTGGAACTTCTTATTTAGTGGTGATGAGATTAGAGCTAGCTACCTTGCTAATGCGTTCGACTTTAAAAGAAAATTCCTGTATGAATGGACCGTTAACTGGAGATTTTTATCAGAAGACATTTTCAATTCAAGCACATTCCATCACTTATTACTATTCATTCACGGTGCCTTGTTGTTAGTTTTCATTTTCACTAAATGGGCATCTCCTTATTGTTCAGGAAAATCCACAAAGGCATTGATCACTGATTTATTCAAGGTTTTCCATCCAACAATCTCACCAAACCATGTTATAAATAACCCAACAAGAGCTCCTGTGTATGTTGTTGGAGTTTTGGCAAGTTGTAACTTAATTGGTGTTATCTGTTCAAGAAGTTTACATTATCAATTTTTGTCATGGTATAGTTGGTCTTTCCCATATTTACTATATTTGAGTAATTTCCCTTGGTATTTGTCTATTTTTATATTTATGGCTCATGAATGGTGCTGGAATGTGTTTCCGTCAACCAAGTTGAGTTCAGGAATACTATTATCTATTAATCTCTTTGTGGTGATGGGATATTATTTTAATTCTAGAGGAAAATGTGATGATGTTGTTGAAGATGATAAAAAAAAGAGATGATTATCTTTGTTTAGATATAATTATAAAGTAGAACATATTGTAATTCAAGATTACATGTAGTATCTACAATATCCCATTTGGAATGAAAATTAACTATAATTAATGTCATCTAGAATACAAACTAATATAAATATAACTTCTCGGTATCTTACGAGTAAGTCCAATGATTGAAACAATTAACAAAAGTGTTTTCGCTTAAAAACTCACATGAAAACCCACTAATAATACTAAAACCCAAAACCAAAACCCAATAAGAAAAGATCAATCTGTTGCTTCAACACTATCTCTCCAATAACTGTCAAAAGTTCCTAAATCTCCACCATCTGTATTGAGGAAATTCTCAAGGTTGAAATTTTCATCACCTGCCAATTCATTAGAGAAATCAGACAATGGAAAATCATTATAGAGTTCATTTGAAATGGATTGTGAATGGTGTCCAGAAATCATTTGTGATGCACCCCCCAGCAGTTCATCGCTTGGTTTAGACTCCTTTTCTTGACCCTGAGCTTGTTGTTTAGAAGTCTGTTGTTGAGCTTGAGATTGTGATGGTTGTTGCTCTTCCGTGCTGTTATTGTTAGTTGCATTTTCTGAGTTTGGTGGTGTCAGTTGTGATGAATTTTTTTCCTCCTTCAAATTTGATGATTCCTTTTTGTTCGCATTATTTTGAACTGGGTTTGGTGTCATTGGAGTCGTTGGTGTTGGTGGCTCAGAAGTGTTATTCAGTTGAGAATTCTTTTTCGTTTGTTTTCTTGGTTTAGGTTCTTTCTTCTTACGACCGGTTGATGTTGTCGTCGTAGCGGATGAACTTTCAGGAACGGACTTGGCACCAACAGCAGGAGAAGAGGCAGGTGTTGAATTTTTCAGCACTTTTGGAGGTGGCATATTCTTTGAAGTTGAGCGTGGAGAGTTCTTATCCTTCTTCGTATCCTTTTTGGACCCATCAAGCATTCTCTTGTTTTCACGCTCTAATAACATAAGTTGCATTTGATAATCTTGTAAGGCACTAGCACTCGAACTTGTGTTATTATCTTTATCAGTCTGATTGATCAATGGACTTGGATGGTTACTTGTACTGTTGTTGGACTTCACATTGGCCAAAGGTGATGGATGATCACTCTTGTTGATTGTTGGATTCAAAGTCGATGGAGAACCTGATAATGGTGAAGGATGGTTACTTGAACTTTCAACCTTTGGCTTCATCTTCGGACTTGCACCAGCAGCATTTCTTGGATTATTACTTGGAGTATTATTGCTTGAATTGTTGGTAGTGTTATTATTCGAAGTGACAGGAACACCTGGTGTTGGAGGTTGCTGATGCGCAAATGGTTGTACACCGGGAGCTGGGGGAGCCTTGAACTGTTGGAACTGAGGATACTGTTGTTGTCTCATTTGGTTCATTTGGAATTGAGCTTGGGCTTGTTGTTGTTGCAATCTTGCGTAATTAGGTGGCATAGATCCAGGACCAGCAGGAACATTACCTCTTTTTTGACCAGCAAGTAACTGTGATTGATGTTGTTGGAAGTGTTGTTGAACTTCTTGTTGTGATTGTGAAGGTTGCAAATGTTGATGATGAGGAGACATTAAGGTGTCATTTTGACCAAATTGATTAAAGTTTGGAACAAACCCTTGTTGATTTTGAGGTCCAAACTGGCCAGGAAGTTGACCGTTACCAGCATTTGCACTTCCAGCACCAGCGTTTGCACCACCTGGGTGACCAATCTGTTGATGTTGACGTTGCTGAGCTAGTAATTGCTGTTGATGTTGTTGTTGTTGTAACATTAGCTGTTGTTGATGTTGCATTCCAGACAGACTTTGAGCTTGTGCATGGGCAGCATGGAACGTTGAACTGTGTAGCGCATGCTCTTTTCTTTGCCTAACTAATTGTAAATGATAGTAATGTTGAGCATTTTCAGAACCACCACGATGAGTTCTGGCGTTAAACACGTCCCAAAATATTTGCCACCACTCGTAAAGAAACCCTTGTGGAGCATCCATTGATATTGCCAGGGGTAAAAGCTCTTTTTTTGAAGGGTTCTTGACCGCTTTATTCTGGTTGTTGTCAGTTGGGACATCTGCTTCTTTGATGAAAGTGGATGCAGTCTGAGGTAAGGAGGATTTAATCAAAAAATCGTAAACATAAGCATTCAACAGCTGTTTGGAGTTGGAAGATATCAAATCATTCACAAATCTTTTGGAAGCATCATTATTATTGTTGAAATTTTGAGGTGGCTGTTGTTGTTGTTGCTGTTGGTTGGATTGTTGCTGGTGATGATTTTGCTTTTGGATACCACTCATGGCAGCGCTTAATGATGAACAGATTCAGCTTTTTCTATTCAATGAGTAGCTATTGGGTGAGCAGCAGTTTGGCAATGGAATAATGTCCCGAGTGTGACTGGAAGTATGAGCAAGTTGTGGGTATTCTGGCAATTTGAACTTGTTGTTGTTTGAGAACGTTGTTGTGTTGTTGATAGTAAACTAGCGCTCAAAATTTGTTCAGAGGGGGCAGAAACACACCAAAAGTAGGAAAAAAAAAGTAATGGCTGATAAAATTGACAGGAGATTTATGAAATGTTCTTTTTGTGGCGGTTTCAGCTGGACTGGGATCAAATGGGACCCGGTAATTGAGTTCTCTCGTGTTCAGCTGTTCGCTAAGTATAACGACTTTGTGGTGTGTGTTTGGATACGATGAAAGCAGAGTGTCTAAAAGACGTTCTTTCTCTTTCCCAATAGCTCTCACTTTTGTTTGGCGTGTGTTTGGGCTCCTCGTGAAAATTTGGAAAAAGGTGAAAAGAACGGGAAAAAGCGCTGCGTAACCACTTCCTGAAGAGGAAAGAATGATGCACGTGTATAGTCACCTGACGTAATTGATTCAGGGTAAATATATGACAGAAAGCTTTAATTAGCGGCGCACAAACACAGTTGTTTCAAGTTTCAGACTGCTTTAGCCTCTTCAATGAAAGAGACGAGACGTGTAATTGATTATGGTTCCATTTGTTACTTTCTTTTCCTTGTTCTAATGGTTTAATCCCATGCATTCTGTTATAGAGGTCGCAAAGGTCTCAAGGTGCCCGATTCTGTATGCCAATCTGCTCCGATCAGGTACACATCTACATGTACAAAGTGTAACTAGAAAATGTGTGAATGAACAATTAGTAGAGCCTATACCAACTCCATTCAGCACTGGTTAATAAAATAGTTGTGATACAGTTTCAACTCAGGGAACCTACATCAACCTTTTTGTCCCTCCTTATGGGTCTAAGGTCGGGTTTCTAAAAGTTCATGGTGATCTTTCTTGTAAGATCAAGTGTAATCTAAACTTTGATCGCCGGCCATGAGGTACCGTGCCTCAAGTTTCTTTCTCAGCCCATGTTGGTGTTTTCAAGCTTGAACGTCCGTTATGGTAGAAAGCCAGTCCAAGTACAGATAAGAAAAATCATAAGGGCCTTGTAATGGAACCTGACCCTAAAACAGTTATGATTCTTCTCTCGCTTTTGAAAGGCTTTCAAGTATCCCTTTGCCGGACAAGCAGGTACTTGTCTTGAAAGACCGCGAATTTTTTGGACTAGGGTTCGAAAACAAACGTTGAAAAATATCATTGATCAAGCTCTTCAAACTACAGATACTATGAAGAAGAAGTGAGGATACGTCAGACTATATCAAATTATTACAGCAGTCTCCATATAGGCCTATCCTTGTCTCAAAGGAAAATCAATTCTCCACGAGTTATATTTTACAATCGAAGTCCTAGAACGTAATAACGAAAAAATAAACTCATTATACACTTCAAACGTTTAACCATCTTAATACTCACACCTTCGCTATCATAATCTCTTTTTCTTTCAGATATTGTCAATTTCTATTCCCTGTTCTCAACTGAAGTAAATCATCAAAATATCCATTCAAACAATACTTAGGGAAGTCTGTATCATCAAGCTGTATTTGTCATTTCATTCCTAAATATCACATCATCAGCGTTATAATCCTCTTCAATGTCTTCTAATAAATTATCAACATTATTTTCCGACATTCTCAACAATTCATCAGTGCTTCGTTCAGCTATCTCTGAGATATCTTTCAAAGTCACTAAACCTTTGAAAACACCATTCTTACAAAATAAAACATATCTTGGTTTTAGCTTGAAGAAATACTCAACAAGTGTTGGGAGTGGTAAGTCCGGGCTTAAATTGATGTAATTTGTTTCCAACAGGTGATGCATTGGATATTTATCATCGTTCCCATCATCATCTTCTTTAACCAATGAAACTTTTTGATCTGAGGAAATACCAGTGATCCCTCTTATTTTTTCAAATTCATACCGTAAATCACAAATAGGTAGCCATCCAATCAACTTTGGTTCATCTCTACTTGTCAGTACCGGTACACCTTGATAAGGATACTCCAACACCGATTCAAGCGCGGCGATAGTGATCTGGTCTTCAAGAAAAATAGCTTCAACTTTCTCATAGGGTGACATGAATGTCCCACTCTTAATTAAAGGTAATGGCTTTTGCACTTCAGTCAAGTAAGGGTATCCAAAAAACTTGATCCATAAATCATAGCAACTTTTCTCATCAAACTTATCATTAGTCCATCTAGCAACCAATACAGTGATCATGATCGGTAAGACATATGTTAGTGCACCTGTGAGCTCAAAAACTGTAACCACAACCCACACTGTCATCTTGGTAACACCAGTCAAAAATGCAGCAGATCCAACAACAGCATAAGCACCTGGAGATATACACAATCTGCTTGACCTCTCACATAATGATGACAAAACTGGGTTTGCATTTTGAATCTTTTCGAAAACGATACCTAATAATCTCCCAACAATAGCACCAATGGCTAGTGATGGCATCAAAACACCAGCAGGAATAAATGTACCAAATGTATAAGAAGTCAAGAAAACAGCAATAATACCTGTGAAAACTAATAATGTAAAACCTTCACTGTTACCACATAACCCACCAACAATATTAGAATCCCCTTCTTCACAATCTTTGTACAGCCTAGTGATTAAAGTTGTCAGAGGTAATCTGGGGAAGATCAATGGATAAGTTAAAACAGAAGTGACAAGTGACAAACCTATAATCTCTAAAATCTCATAATTGATTCCTTTTGAACTAATATATTTTTGTCTAAGATTGGCAAACCACATATTCAATCTGTTGAACACTGCACCATATATCCCACCAAGAACACCTAGTAATACAAACCCAAACATTTCAATACTTAACCATTGGTTCTCCATTGTGACTAAAATGTCGACACCTTCTTTAAATGTGTTTAATATCACAACCCCGGCCATTGCACAAACAAAAGAACTCCACATTTTATCACTAGCATTGAAGTAAGAGCTCATTTGCTCAAATGTAAACAAAACACCACCAATTGGTGCATTGAATGCTACTGATATACCTGCTGCTGTTGCTGCCAGCAGTAATTCTCTCCTTATAGCTTCATTATGATCCAAACTTGGAAAAGCCTTGATTGAAATATTTGCGCAACAACATGAAATATGAACTAAGGGACCTTCTTTACCTACCCACATACCTGAACTAACAATCAATGTTAGACCAATAAATTTAACCAATAATGTTTTAAAACTCAAGAAATCCTTAATAATTAGCCCGCTAATGATTGTCTTTGCTTCAGAGATACCTGAAGTCTTAATAAATGATGAATCCTTAACAACAAAAGCAGTTGAGATGGCCAATATCAAAGAGGTGGTCAAATAAAGAAAATATTTGTAAATAAAGCTACCAGCCGTGTTTTTATCAATATGTATCACTTGATCCCACTGTTTCCAATTATCACACACATCACCTTCCCTTATACCCTTACAACAATTTGTGTAGGTCATATAAGCTCCTTCATTGCAGTATCCACCTTTCAGATCCGTCAACCATTTGTATAGATAATCTAAACAAGCAGTTAAAATACCAATAAGGGCACCTGTCCCTATAAGTACAACCCATTTATAACTGTTTCGTAAGGTACGATGCCATGGAGTTTGGGAATTGGTGAATTTTTTAAAATGCCTCTCTCTTTCATATTCATGAGCCCAATCAATTGATGATAAATTTGAATAATGTTTTTGTCCAATGTTATTATTGTGGAAAGTTTTGGAATTGTTGTTGTGGAACTCAACAATGGGTATTCCTTGCCATCTGTTTGGGTCCTTTTCCCAAGCTAGACTTTTGCTCATAAAGGATAGAACGTGCTTTGTATTGAAGATATATGGGGTCTTTGTAAAATTTCCACTTTTACTGGTTTATTCTTGGGTTTCGGGTTCGCGCTATCAATATTTTTACCCGGTGTTGATCAAAACAAGTTTCGCGAAATTCTTGAGGAAAAAACTTGAACTTGATGATCCAGAGAAAAAAACATCAACAATTAGTTCTCCAATTGCAGCACAAACTACGCAAAGTGATTGGATTGAACTTGTCAAGCTTACCCAGTTGAATAAGTGAAAGAATGTCATTCTTTGGGAAACCAGCGGCTAGCACTGCAACCTCAACCTCACAAGCAACAGAAGCAGATCTGGCAAATGATATTATAGTACAAAACCCACCAGAAGATTCTATATCAGATATTGCATTTTCTCCACAAGCCGAGTTCTTTTCAGCTTCCTCGTGGGACAAAAAAGTTAGAATATATGAAGTTTCACCAACTGGATCCACAGAAGGACGTGCATTATATGAACATGACGCTCCAGTATTGACAACTAGATGGACATTAGATGGTACCAAGGTGATATCTGGTGGTGCTGATAAACAAGTTAAATTGTATGATATTCAAAGTGGACAAGCACAGACGATTGGTATGCATGATGGTCCAGTTAAGGCTGTTCGTTTTGTTGAATGTGGTCCAACTAATACTCAAGTTGTTGTTAGTGGTTCATGGGATAAAACATTGAGATATTGGGATTTAAGACAACCACAACCAGTTAGTACGATTCAATTACCAGAAAGAGTCTATGCTATGGATGCCTCACAGAAATTATTAGTGGTTGGTACAGCTGAAAGACATGTGTGTATCATTGACCTGAACAATCCCCAACAAATTTCTAAACAAGCTATGTCTCCATTAAAATGGCAAACAAGATCTATTGCATGTTATCCACAAGCAAACGGTTACGCTTTAGGTTCAATTGAAGGTAGATGTGCCTTCCAATATATTGATGATCAAGAACAAGCCAAATCAGGGTTTACATTCAAATGTCATCGTCAAAACGAAACCAAAGCTGGAAGAACAGAAAGTCATATCTTTGCGTTGAATTCTATTGCAGCTCACCCAGTGTATGGTACATTTGCTACTGCAGGATCAGATGGTTGCTTCCACTTCTGGGATAAAGATGCTAAACATAGGTTGAAAGGTTTCCCATCTCTAGGAGGTACCATTTCAGCTGCTGCTTTCAACAGAAATGGTAGCATTTATGCCATTGCTGTATCTTATGACTGGAGTAAAGGTTACAGTTTCAACAATCCACAGTATCCAAACCTGATTAGACTACATCCTACCAAAGATGAAGAGGTCAAACAAAAGAACAAAAGACGTTAATATAATTAGTTTTAACGAGTGTATACTAGCAAATAATGTGAATGATTATGTCATCTTCGTTACTCGGGTATCTTGTTGCGCTTACCGAAATTTCCCCTTTCGGTCATTTTCCCTGAAATTTCTTTGGGCAGTTTTTTTTTCTCTTTGCTTGACGTTTTTTTTTTTAATAGGGAGCGAGATCATCGTCTTTTGCAACCACAAGAAAACGTATCAAGATTCAATCAAAATCAGCATTTTACACATTCATTTGAAGTAAAAGATTACACAAACAAAGGACTTTGTTCTATATCAGCATGGCTTCTTCTGTATACCAATCACAGAAAAAGGGACCGGTCAAACGTGAGATGATCATCACTCCTTTTGGATCTCAACTAGATGGTGAGTATACGTATGGAGAAAGGGTCAAGATGGCGGATTCCTTGAAGAAGAATCCAAGTCACTTGCACCTTGAGACAACAAAGTACTGCGTACTAACAAATACAAAGACATAAATAAGGCTCTTTTCGATTATCGCTACAGAAAGCAAACTCAACATCATCAGCAAAACAATAACAAGTTTTACAACAATGGTGGTGTTCATCATCAAAAGAATCAAATGAGGGTTGTTCCTACTCATCATCATCATCATCATCATCATCATCATCATCCTCAACAACAACAAGGGGTCCATCATTCTCATGGTCAATATCCTCATCGTCAAGTTGTTGGAGGGAACAACCATCTCAACGGTTCAGGAGTCGCTAATACCGCTGGATTTGTTAATAGAAACTTACCAACTCCAGCACCAACTCCTATGGTCAAAGGTATGCCTCAGCAAGCTCAGCAACAGCAAGTTCAACAAATGCAAAACATTTCTTTGTTGCAACATCCACAACCTCAAATGTTTCCATCATCTACATCTGGAAACCAACAAGTTTTTCAAAGTGTTGTTGCTGCTTCTCCTGATAGTTTTGTTGAAGAACTAGTCTCTTCATCAAAATTTGATCCTTTTGTTCATTCAACTAATCTATCATCATCTGTTAGTTCAGGTGGTGGTTCAACTGTTTCTTATGGTTCAAATAACGATGAATATTTGAATGGTAAGGAATTATTTAATGTTAATGTTAATGTTCCTAATGAATTTTTGAATAATAAAAATAATAATAATTATAATGTTAATAATGGGTTTGAGTTTAATAACGAAAATAAAAATTCAGTCAATTGTGTTTTGAATAACAATCGTTCTGATAAAAATTTTGGTTGGTTAAAAATTTGGGGAAATGATATGTCTGTCTGGGGTTGATTTATTTTTATGATGATTTTGGTTTAGACTGATGAAATAGAAACCTTCTATTCATCAGGTCTATTGGTTATACATTGCGGACTATCATTGTGTTGTTTTTTTTTTTTGAGATATGGTGTGTTTTAAATCAACGTTTCATTCATCAGTTGTGTTTTTTTTATATATATATATTAAGGTTAAGTGGTTTTTTTATTCAAACATATGTTTTTTATATAATTTTAGTTTTGGTCCAGAAAAAGAGAAGAAAAGAGTGGTTTTAAGTGAATTTTTTTTAGGAGATGGTATAATTTTTGTTTTATAAAGTGAAATGTGTCATGAGATCAGAGTGTTTTACAAGAAAAAGAAAGCGTCGGTTGTTTTATATGTTTAAATGTATTTGCTAATATAGCATGGTTAATTACTGGTCAATTAGTGTTTTTTTATATTTCTCATTCAGTTTATGGCAATTAAGTGCGTTTGCCCATCATTATATGCGAATAAAGATAATATTTTGGTTTTAGTGAATATATTTATGTAGGTTTCATAATGATCTTTGTTCTGCCAACTTCTGAATCAAATGATCTAGTCTGGGAAATTTCAAATCAATTTGCGACTTGGTATCAGCTCTAGTTACAAGCTTAGAATTATGCTGAGCTGGAAGCACCACTTGTTTTGGCATTGATGAGCTCTTCTTTATCCGTTTCATTGGCTTTTGGTGCACAATCTTATTTTCTGGCAAAGGTATCTTTGATTTAGCGTTAGGTTTTGTTGATGGTTTTCCAACATTAGAGTCAAGTTCCTTCAAAACATTAGTCTCAGCAGACTTCTTGCTCTCACTTTTCTTCTGATAAAGTAAAGATGTATTCTCAGGGTCAAATATTCTGGATAACCCATTGGTGTCGTCCTTCACATGTACTTCAACATTCTCCAACAGAGTCTTATCAACATCCAACAATATGGTTTCATAATTGATACAATCACCATCTTCAAAGTTCACAATTGATGAGTTTTGTTTTTCCTCTTGACTCTCCAAAACACTTTCACCATCTAGTATATGTGAATCATCAACAACCGGTATTTGATCCTCATGAACCAACAAAATATCTATTCTGGCATCTGACAACTTTGGAATAGATCCACCTTCAAATGACTTGTTTAATTCACGTTGTAGTTGCTTTAAATGGCACTTGGTCAACTCCATTTCGTATCTGGAACATTTTGGCAAAGCAGATAGTAGTTGCAAGTCTAAATATCCTGGAATAATTCATTTGCATTCACAATCTCAATTTAAACAGTTTTGTGGTTTTGTGGTTTATATGCAGTTTGTTTCCCTCGGTCATGTGATATAGCATGTGACTGAATCATGAATTCCGGTTTTTTTAAAATTTTGATTTCTTTGGCTTTGAAGAAAAACTATGGAAAAGGTAAACAAATCTTGGATCGATTTAATTGTCTTTCGAACGCAATCAATACGTTTGACTTAGGAATTGAAGCCACTCTTAAGTGATAGATAATCACTAAAAGTATGTACCACTTGGCTGGTGTTTTACTTCGAAAAGTTGGAACCAATTCAGAATCATTCATCTTAAGAAACAACATCATCAGAATCCAGATCATAACAGTTACTAACAATTAAAACAGTGACCAGCTTCACAACGCCCTATAAGAGCAAGATCTTTGATGCTGGTGGACCAACTACAACTATAGCACCAGTGGCGGGCCCATCCAAAATCCCAGTGACGTATAATGACTATTTGAAGGTCACTAATGTGGATATAAATGAACCTTCCAAATTAGCAAGTAAATATGTTGATGCATCAATTCTACGTGATAAGATAACACCAGTTCTTGATGATACCCAATACCATAGCAATGCTGTCAATTACAATTTTTCAAGTGAACCTAATGGTCTAGGGCCTTTCACCCCTTTTGAAAGAACAGAAATCATTGATATCCCTGATGAAATTTTGAAAGAGTATAACAAGGTGGAAACTGTTAGTAATATGGGGATTTTCTCAGAAATTTCAAGAGCGTGGGTTACAATCGATAATAAATTAATCTTGTGGAACTTGAAGAAAACTTTGGAGTTTCAAACATTTGAAGATATTCAAAACACAATTTTAAAAATTGAATTAGTTAAACCAAAACCTAAAACTTTTACTGAATCAATTAACTATTTATTATTAATTTCCACCCCATTTGATATCCATATTCTTGGTGTTGCATATTCATCAAAGACCAATGATTTGGAATTGTATAATACAGGAATGGTTGTCTCCTCTCATGGTTTAAGTGTTGATCAGTTCATCTCATTTGAAACCACTGGTCAGATATTCTTTACAGGGTCTGGTGATGGTTTACATATTTGGGAATTACAATATTCCAACTCAGAAGATTGGTTGAACAAAAAATGTAACAAACGTTGTTTAACAAGATCAGCAGTTTCGAGTCTTGTTCCAGGTTCTTCAATCATCAACTCAATTGCGAATTACTTTGCAGAAGATGAATCTTCAAGTAATGAAACTGTGATTCAATTATTAGTTGATAATTCAAGAGGTATATTGTACACATTGTCAAACCAATCAGTTATTAGATGTTATAAAATCACTGGCTCGGGCTCTTTGGGTGAACCAATTGTCGTTAGACGTTCACACATATCCACTTTTGCCAGAACTTCTAAAGCTAAAAACTCACCACTTCTTAACAAAAAATATCTTTCAATTGTTAATTTAAATGTTGTTTCAAGAAATGAAAATGAAGATTTATTCTTAGTCGCAATTACTGTTGGTGGTTGTCGTCTATATTTGAATGGTTCATCAAATCCGCATAGTGTTACTGCACTAAGGTTGGAAAGTGTTAGATTCCCACCTACAAAGATAACACAAGAGCAAATAGAGGCTGAACAAAGGTCTTTCAAAGAGCAAGAAGCCTTGAAAGGTCCAGCAACAAGCTCATCTGTTTTCGGATTACCATCTGCTGATAAAAGAACAACAGATGAATTACCAACTATTTTATCATATCAAAAGAAATCAGCTGTGTTGGTTGAATCAAGCTCATCAAGTAAAGTGATTTCACCTGGTATTTTCTTTGATGTTGTTCAAAAACCAGAAACAAAGGAAAATAAATTATTTGTTACAGTTCCTGATTATGGTGTCTTGAAATATCATAACCAATATATGGAAAATGCTACATTTTTGGAATGTTCAGGAAAAGTTCATCAAATTGTTCCATTATCCAAGACTTTCAACGCTACAGACAGACCACAAGGTTATGCCAATGAATTTGCCACACAATATATTTCTGGTGATTTTGAAGTTGCAGTTTTAACCAATACTTCATTACAAATTTATCGTTTTAGAAAACCAGACGTTGTCTTTGAATCATTAGTTGAAGATTTTGTTCCATTCGTTACAAAATATGGTATTATGGAATCTACATCAACTGCATTATACATTACTTGCAAATACAACATTTCCAAAACAATAAGATCCAATGCATTCAGTTTTTTCACTCTAGGTGTCCCTAATTTAGTTGAATTTAAACCTCGTTATGTTCAAGAAAGTTCAAACTCATTGATTACAGCAGTGCTCAAACCTTCTAGTGATTCACAATTCAAATTTGAAAATGTAATTTTAAGTCCAAGATTTTATGGTATTGTTACATTATTGGGTAGATTGTTTAGAGAAATTTGGGATGAAAAAGTTTTTGAAATTAGTAAAGATGTTAAATATGAAAAAAATGGGACTCTTATCAAATCATCAATTTTTGAAAATGAATTTTTAAATTCTTTAAATATTGATCAATCCAAAATTGAATTTTTCCTAAGTTCAATAAGTGTTCTTAATGAATTTTTCCAAACATATGGTAATACAATTGCATGTTTCATTCCACCAAGTTTCAACAATAAAACATTGGATAAATCTGAAGAATTTGCTAATCAAGCTGAGAACATTGCAATCAATTCTGTGATTAGGTTAGTTATTTCCATTAAGGAAGCATTATCATTCCTTGTTGTCTTATTGAAAGAAGGTGGTGAAGCTGTTGAAGGTGATGATGATTCTAATTCAAGAGATATTTTCAAATATTTAACATTGGATGTTCAAATTTCATTATCTAAACTAACTTTCAAAGATTTATTTGCTCCAACTGAAGATTCTAAAAATTTGGTCAAAGAGATCTTATCATCTATTATAAACCGTTCAATGAGCCGTGGTGAATCAATTGAATATATTGCTAAAGGTCTTCAAGAGCGTTGTGGGTCTTTTTGCTCAGCCAATGATGTTGTTGGGTTCCGTGCTATTGAACATTTAAGAAAAGCTAAAGAAATTGGGTTCAAGGATTACGATGGTTTGAACTACCATTTAAGTCGTGCAATTGAATTATTTGAAGCTATAAATAATGAAGTCAGTGTGGAGAAATTGAAGGAATCTATTGATATAATGACTGGACTAAATGATTTCCCTCGTGCTATCAAATTTGCTTTAAGTATTTCAAATGTTGTGGATAAAGGTAATCTTGGATTACAATATGTTTTAGATGGTAAATTAGTTAATGATTCACGTGAGAAATATTATCAAAAACGTGTTGAAATTTTTGAAATTGTTTTCCAATTGTTGACCCAAGTTGATAAATTGGCGTTAGAAGCAAATGTTCAAATGGCTAGTGGGATCGATAATAATCAATTTATTACTGATTTTGTTAAATTACGTGATATCAGTTATGATGTTGCATTCAAATATCAAGATAAATTATTCCATTATGAATTCTATGATTGGTTTATTAAACAAGATATTAGTGAACGTTTATTAGAATTGGATACACCATACATTCTTGAATATTTGGAGGAAAAATCACAAGATTCATTAGAAATTTCAGATTTATTGTGGATTTATCAATCTAAGAAACAAAACCACTATCAAGCTGCTTTGATATCATATTCTTTAGCTTTAAGTGATTTCACCATTTCATTGAGTCAAAGAAATGAATATTTGAGTCGTGCAATTGGGTTTTGTAATTGTACTACATTACCACATCAAAGACAACAAGTTATTGAATTGAGTACATTGATTGAAGAAGTGTTTGAAGCTTCAAATATCCAATATGATTTATTAACATGTATTTCATATGATAACAAACTTGGTGATGATAAAAAAGATGAATTGATTGCACAATTAAATGGCAAGATCTTGACTGTTAGTGAATTATTTAATGATTTTGCAGATGTATTATCATATCATGAAGTTTGTTTGAATATTTATAAAGTTTCTGATTTCAGAAATTCTGATGAAATATTATCAAGATGGTATCAATTATTTGATTCAATTAGAGAGGAAACTTTAGAAGATGATGAAACTTTTATTTCACTATTGTATCAAACTTTGGCTAAAGTTGGTAAGAAATTGAGTAGTTCAGAATTTGTGTTCCCTATTTCTGAACTTTTCCCAATAGTTTTAAATTTAGTTATTGAAACTAATCCAGAATTTTATCATAAAGGTGATATTGTCAATATTTTCATTGAAAGTGGTGTTACATATGATAAGATCTATTATATTTTGAAAGATTCAATAGATACAAATACTAGTGATGGTAACATCAAGTATTATGCAAGTGAATTGAAAGTTTTAATTAAACAATGGTATGAAGAAGATATAAGATTACGTGAAATTATCTCAAGTGATGATATTTTGGTGCTAAACAACAGTGAGGAATACTCTGTTGCCATCGATCCTATCAACAAGTACATTGTGAAGACTGGTAATTCAATATAATGAATTGTGGGGGGGGGGGGGGGTGTATATTAGATGAATTCTACATTTTTCAAGGATGATACTTTTAAACCTAGTCTGCCATGTTCTACGTGCCAACTATCACATAATCATTTTCTCTGATGATCATCTTTCCCAATAAATCAACAGCCTCGGGCTAAAAAGGTTTTTACTCCACAAGAGAAAAAGTGACAAAGTTCAACATTGACGGCTTGATGAATGGGTCTAAAATAGAGAAATACACTCACAATAGAGATCGATACAAAGAGTTGATTTGGTAGTAAACTAGTAGAATCAACACGCAATTGACTCAAATTCAAATGCTCGCCATCTTCAAAGCATCCAGCTACTGCATCGGGAAATTCCGAGCGCCATCAACCTTGGTTATCAGCCTGAAGCGAAGTGGACCAATTGAAACCAGTCTCGTTATTAAGCCAAACCTCGTCTAGAATCTGAGATGCTTAGCTAATACCAAAGTGTGAAAATGACCATTTCGGTTGCTCTGATTCGACAGTCCCCTCAACCCACAATTTGGTATGGTGCACTGATAAGCTGTATATAAACATCAAACTTTGCCGCTGGAAAAGAATATGATTTAGTATCATCATCAATTATCAGAAAATATGTCAGGAAAGGATAACAAGTGTCCAAGAGTAACAACCTCTCAAGGTTTCCCATTACCAAATGCTTTTGAAACTCAAAGAGTGGGCGAACATGGCCCTCTTTTATTACAAGATTTCAACTTGATTGATTCTTTGGCCCATTTTGATAGAGAACGTATCCCTGAACGTGTTGTTCATGCTAAAGGCTCTGGTGCTTATGGTTATTTTGAAGTTACTGATGATATCACCGATATCTGTGGTTCTGCCTTCTTGGATACCATTGGTAAGAGAACTAGAACAATGACTAGATTCTCCACTGTTGGTGGTGAACAAGGTTCTGCTGACGCTGCTAGAGATCCAAGAGGGTTTGCAACCAAATTTTATACTGAAGAAGGTAATTTAGATTGGGTTTATAACAATACTCCAATTTTCTTTTTAAGAGATCCAATTAAGTTCCCTCATTTCATTCATACTCAAAAGAGAAATCCTCAAACTCACTTAAAAGATCCAAACATGTTTTGGGATTATCTATGTGAAAATCAAGAAGCTATTCATCAATTCATGATTCTATTTTCTGACCGTGGTACTCCTGCTGATTACAGACATATGAATGGTTATTCTGGTCATACTTATAAATGGTCAAATAAAAAAGGTGAATGGTTTTATGTTCAAGTTCATATGATTTGTGATCAAGGTATTAAAACTTTAAACAACGAAGAAGCTGGTTCATTGAGTGGTTCAAACCCAGATCATGCACAAGAAGATTTGTTTTCTGCAATTGCAAAAGGTGATTCTCCTTCATGGACTTGTTATGTTCAAACAATGACTCAAGAAGAGGCTTCAAAATTACCATTTTCCGTTTTTGATTTAACAAAAGTTTGGCCACATAAAGATTTCCCACTACGTCGTTTTGGTAAATTAGTTTTAAATGAAAATCCACAAAATTATTTTGCAGAAGTTGAACAAGCTGCATTTTCACCATCTCATACAGTTCCATATCAAGAAGCTTCAGCTGATCCTGTTTTACAATCAAGATTATTTTCATATCCAGATACTCATCGTCATCGTCTTGGTACAAATTATGCACAAATTCCAGTCAATTGTCCATATGCTAAAACTTTTAACCCAATTATTAGAGATGGTGCAATGACTGTCAATGGTAATTATGGTGCTGCACCAAACTATTTGTCCACAATTTCAAATCCAGTTCAATACACTCCACAACCAAAAGTTAACTATCAACAAAATCAAGAAGTTTGGACAGGTCCAGCTCAACCATTCCATTGGAAAGTTGAAGGAGATATTGACTATGTTCAAGCTAGAGCTTTATATAAAGTTTTAGGTAAACAACCAGGTCAACAAAGAAATCTAGCTCATAATATTTCAGTTCATGTTGCTGGTGCAATTCCATCTGTTCAAGATCGTGTTTTCGAATTATTTGCAAAAGTTGATTCAAAATTAAGTAATGATATTAAAAAGGAAGTTTTAGAATTGAGTCCAAGAGATCAAAGTTCTAGTGGTAAATGTCCTTACAAAGGTGCTAATGTTAAATTATAGACTTTTCTTATACTGGCTTATAAGTAAAGTTTAGCTGTGATGTATATAATAACTATCTTTTTTCAATATTTATATTTGATTCTTCAATATTCTGAAAACATTGCGTAGATGATATTTGAGACTTTCTTCATATGCCTTTCAAGAGACCTTTGAAGGTGCAATACACTACAAAATTGAGTTCCAATGTAATAAATATTATCTTCTGTTAAACATCAAACATGAAATCTCAACCAAAACCCATTAACCAATTAACAAACCCCCGCCATTTGCAACACCATCTTATAATTTAACAATACAATGACAACTATCAACAGTACATTTACAATTCTCTTTACATTTGCAACTACCTGAACAACTACCACAACCGGACTCTGAAGCACTCGAAGTACAACTTGATGAAGAAGTTTGAACTTTTGATGAAGTTTGTGAAGTATTGATTTGTGAAGTAGTTTTTGATGAACAACAAGGCATTATTGATTGAATATTAAAGATATAATGGTTTATGGAAGTGATGGTATTAGAGAGACTTCGGGGTTGGAAAAGTTTCCATTTAAATACCTTCGATGACTTTGGTGATGATGTGCCGATAAGAGTGGACACACATTCGTGGGATGCGCCTTCCCGATTGGGAAAGTCTATACACAATAGAAGTTTGAACGGTTGAGAGAAGTTTGGCTGTGAGTTGAGCAATTATAATGGGGTTGCACCGTTGCAGTTAGTCGGTGATGATTGTTTGGATTTGTATTATATGCTCATGTTTTGCCATTTCCAAAGGTGTAATCTCGATAAATTCGAATTTAACATTGAAGGCTCAAGCAATGTCACTACGAGATCGAAGCCTTACAAATACATCGAAAACTATGTCCCACAGATCTCCTGGTCTTGTTTATATCCAGCTAACCATTAGAATGGCCATAGACGTTGTTTTTTTCAACCCGACTTCACAAATCAGAATTATGTAAAGAATGGTAGGAAAAAATAGAGAAACACGTAAAGAACAGCGTAAAATCAAGCCAACAAAGGAACAGCTTCCTCTGAAGTCGCACTAAAACCGAATAAAGCCATGATTCACTTAAGCGCCTTGTTTTGAAGGATGTTTTCTCAACGGTTTGTGCCTTAAAACTAATTGGTGTTCTTTTTTATTGATGTAATTCAATTTTCCAACTAGAAAATTCAAAACCACATTCAGATTTTATAACCAAAGAACAATACAATCAATAATGTCAAAATATACCTTGAAAATCGAAGCGCTTCATAAATCACTAAACTCCTCCCAAATTCAATCAGAGTTCACTTTAAAGAGCAGTTGTCACGTTAAAATATTGCAAAATGCCATTGAATTATACTTGAGAGAACATCATGTCACATTAGAGCAAAATCACAAGTTGGAACTATTTGAAGGTTTCACTGGGTTTGAGTTAACGGTAGATCTATTGAAAAATTTGGAAGCTGAACCATTGACTTTATCTAAAGCTGAATTGTTGGTTTCAATTTATATAGAAACTATATCTGTTTGTGAAGGGTTCTCAAATCATACAGATGTGACAATTGAACAAATAATGGAATCAATCTATGATCCAAAAGAAGAATCATTTCAAAGCATTAAATCATTTGATTTGGAGGAAACAAAGTTGAAAGTAGTTGTATATGAAAACCAGGATTATGAAAAAGATCTTGTTGATGAGTTTGATAACATCACTTTAAGTTCAAATCAAACATTCCACTTATACGACTTGGATTACCTTGCCGCTCAATTCAAGAAAGAAACTTTGGACAACTTGATCATGAACATAATACCAAATTCAAAATTTGATCACCTTTGGGAATCATTGAAATATCCGGATCAATTGAAAAGGGAGTTGTTAGGCCATGCCAAAGTTTCAACAAATATGAGATCAAAATCACTAGTTATCAACAATTGTAACAAGCTCTTGTTATTATATGGACCACCTGGTTCTGGAAAAACAACATTATGCAAGTCCATTGCTCAAAAGGTATCAATACAACATGGTAAAGGTGTCTTCATTGAATTTCAATGTTCAAAAGTGTTTTCAAGATTCTTTGGTGAGAGTTCCAAAAATTTAGAAATGATTTTTAAAGATTTGAGAAACTTGATTGAACAAAATCCCAACCTATTGATTATAATATTGATTGATGAGATTGAAACAATTGCAAGCTCAAGAACAAATCTTTTAAAACAAAATGAAACAAATGATGGTATAAGAGTTGTCAACACATTATTAACACAACTTGATCAATTAAAGAAATTTGACAATTTTCTCATTTTATCAACTTCAAACAACATTGATTCATTAGATTCAGCGTTCCAAGATCGTTGTGATGAAACATTTCATATTAAAACACCAAATTCAGAAGCTGTTTACCAAATTTTAAAACAATCCACAAATGAATTAATTGACCACAAAATCATTATTCACCCTGAACTATTGTCAAATAGTGAAGACGACCATCATAATTTGCTAAAAGAAGTCAGCAGAATCTTATATCAAAAGGGATTCAGTGGGAGACATCTTTCAAGACTTCCAATGATGGCATTAGCCAAAAGTTGTGATCAAGATAATGAAGAACAAGTTCAAATCTCCTTACTTTTGTTCCTCAATTCATTGGCTAAAATTGTTTCGCGAATCCATTAGTTGTGTGTCCCGGTTAAAAAAAATCTCCACGAACAAAAATTCAGGAGTTGAGATATTTGTATAGCTTAAAACAACAATCATTCAAACAACAAAAACAAAACATCATTTTCTATCTAAAGTCTCCAAGATGCTCAATAAGGCCATCAAAAGAACTTTAGCTACAAGTGCCGAACTCCACCCAAACAGAGTCCATGGCGGGTTGAAGGATCAAGATCGTATCTTTCAAAATCTATATGGTTATTATGGACGTGATTTGAAAAGTGCACAAAAAAGAGGTGATTGGTACAAGACAAAAGAATTAGTATTGAAAGGTGATGGTTGGATCATTGACCAGATTAAAAAATCCGGTCTTAGAGGTCGTGGTGGTGCTGGTTTCCCATCAGGTATGAAATGGTCATTTATGAATCCACCAGGTTGGGAAAAAAATCCTGGTCCAAGATATGTTGTTGTTAATGCAGATGAAGGTGAGCCTGGTACTTGTAAAGATCGTGAAATCATGAGAAAAGAACCACATAAATTAGTTGAAGGTTGTTTATTAAGTGGTCGTGCAATGAATGCAACAGCTGCTTATATTTATATTCGTGGTGAATTTTATGAAGAATATTTAGCATTACAAGCTGCAATTGATGAAGCTTATAAAGCAGGGTTAATTGGTAAGAATGCATGTGGTTCTGGTTATGATTTCGATGTTTTCGTTCATAGAGGAATGGGTGCTTATATTTGTGGTGAAGAAACTGCATTAATTGAATCATTGGAAGGTAAACAAGGGAAACCAAGATTAAAACCACCATTCCCTGCTGCTGTTGGTTTGTTTGGTAGACCTTCAAATGTGACTAATGTTGAAACTGTTGCAGTTGCGCCAACTATTTTACGTAGAGGTGCTGAATGGTTTGCTGGGTTTGGACGTGATAAAAATCAAGGTACAAAACTATATGGTATTTCAGGTCATGTTAATAAGCCATGTGTTGTTGAAGAAGAAATGTCAATTCCATTAAAGGATTTAATTGATAAACATTGTGGTGGTGTTCGTGGTGGATGGGATAACTTATTAGCTGTTATCCCAGGAGGTTCTTCAACACCTTCACTTACACAAGAAGCTGCTGGTAGAGCCTTAATGGATTATGATGGATTGAAAGAAGTTGGTTCAAGTTTGGGTACAGGTGCTGTTATTGTTATGGACAAATCTACAGATATCATCAAGGCTATCTCAAGATTATCTGATTTTTACAGACATGAGTCTTGTGGACAATGTACACCTTGTAGAGAAGGTACTACATGGTTGGCCAAGGCAATGAAACGATTTGTTATCGGTGATGCTCAGCCTAAAGAAATTGATATGATTATTGAGATTAGTAAAAGAATTGAAGGACATTCAATCTGTGGGTTGGGTGATGCCGCTGCATGGCCTGTTCAAGCATTGATTAAAAATTTCAAGCCTGTATTGTTGGAAAGAATGGATCAATTCCATAAAGCACAAGGACGTAATGATATTCGTTATGGTGGTTGGGTTAGAGAGGCTAAAGTTCTCGATGGTCAAGTACATGGCTTACCACATGATTTCCACCATTGATTATTAATGGCTCATTTGTTCCTACTTATTTATTATTTATTTATTTATTCATATTTATTACACTATTTATTTATTATTTATATATCTATTGAACACCATAGCATTGGTTTATTGTGTCTGTGGTATGTTGAATATACAAATGATACATGTTTAAGCATACAATATGGTACTTTTTTGTTATAGTCGTAGGATTGAAATTTGACGCTTATATCTTTGTCGATAGCATTAGCACTATAACCAAATACAATTATTCCATCAATCTCTAACATAAAAATGAGATTGTTTCGAACGATAGCAACCAGCTCTCAACACTATCTACCAGCTTCTAGATATTTCTTTCCAATAACTTTTCACACAGCTTCACTGCTTCCTAATAAGAATGGCGCCAGAGCGTGGTACTAGACAATATTGGAAACAACAATTTAAAAGTAATTTTATTTTAAAAAGATGATGAAAATGAGATTTTAAATACTACGTATGACCTAAAACACTCGATATTCTTTTTTCAATTTTCTTTCCTTACCCACAAAATTTTTTGAAGTTAGGTTCACCGAGAGCCATTCAGTGCTGGTATTAAGTGGCCGCCCGGTCACATGACTAACTTTTCTAGCGCAAATAGCAAAACAATACCATATGACACAAATATAAAACAATTATATATATAAAGTCCTCAGGTTTCAAAGTTTATAATAATCTATATATTTTGATATAACTCAACTATTTTTTTTTGCTTTCAAAATTTAGAAACATTAAACGACGTACTAATCCCTAAATCTATTTCACAAATAGGGTTATGCCATAATTGTTTATGAAAATTTTCCCAAAACAGCTTACAAGCTGGCCATATGATAGGAACATCAGTTTTATCAATACTGAAGTATTTTAGTATATCTATGTTCTAGCAAAGTGTGTCGAATAATTTTGCTTGAAAATGAGAATTTCGAGTGGTAGGTTTTTTTTTTCATATTCACTAGTTAATTTCGGTCGCGAAATCGCCAGCTCCCAGATACACAAATACAATAATTGACACGGAATAATGAGCTCAGTCTATTAACCTTGGTACAAGTGTTATAATCTTCAGATATTAGAAAATACACAATACACAGATGTACACTTATTAATTTATGTATTAGTTACTAGTGAAAACTAATTTGTATTAGTTGTGCAACAACTTTCGACCCAGCATATTGCAATTAATCAAGGGCTCTATTTAAAGCTTACATGAGATCATAGAATCTGATTTGCTTTTGAACCACTCAATTTACCTTGATCTTCAATTAAGCCTCATCGCTTCCTCTCAAGTGTTCTGGTTAACAAAATATTTCACCTTTCATGGTACCCAAACACCCCGAAAACACTGTTTTCATCACTTCTCTGGTATCACATTTCTTCAAATCACCAAATACCAGCAAAACAACACAACCACATGAAACTCTAGCCATTTAGCTACCTTGAGAAGCTGAAGATTCCAATAAATTGCACACTTAGCTTAAGAATATTTTCCAAAAAAACACTTGAAATGCTGTTTCACGGGTTTCAAACTTTACATCACAACTTTCCAAAAAGTAGCTTTGGAGCGCCAATCAAAACACCAAAAGTTGTATTTCCCCCTCTATTTTCCAAAACAGTACCCCTTTGGACATGGGAGACCCTCTGACGAGCTGTAGTGTTCATTTTATCGGATTCACAACCGACCCATGTATCACCACACAACCATCTTTTGCATATTCCAATCTCAACAACTTCACTTTTCCTAAATCTGACACCTAAACTGGAAAATTCTCAAAATTTCGATATGGAAACCACCTTTAAAATAACCATCCACCACCAAATTTGATCCGGAATTTTCAAAAACAGGGGTTTTCATGGACCCTTGGATGGGTTTTTCAACCCCATTGATCGGATTTTCCCTGGTTTTCCGCGAATTTTGGGCGGTTTTGGATGGGTTTTGAGGATCAGGGAAATAAATCAAGAGAAAATGAGGTACATACCAGCTGAAATTGGACCTCCAACACCTCAGCGGTACTCTAAAAACATGTTCAGATGTTGTATTCCGACCTGTAGATTCCAATAAAACTCTTAGTTTCTCATTTGGTTGGCTAGTTATGGCTCTAAGTCCCATTTTATCGGGTTTGAAAACCCCCTTTTCACCACTTGACCCCCTTCTTGCCCGAAAACTTGTTAGCAAGGTGTCTTGTATTAAGGAAATTGAATTGGATATGGAAAATCCATGTGCTTAGCTCCCTAAATCTCTTCAAATCTCCTCAAAATCTTTATTGCTCCCAAAAATATCAACAAAACTATCCAAAATTTCCACTTTCACCACTTCCATGTTTCGGCCATAACTTTCCAAAAAGTATCTCTGCAACTCCAATCTCAACTCCAGAAGTTGTAT